CCTAAACATTTTCCAGTTCTCATACATCCCCCCCTTATATTAGGGATCAGAACTGCATGCTGCAACGAAGGTGTGGGTAAACCAGAGATTTTCACAGTGGCACAATGTTCTTATCAGATTTGCTCTTTATTTTTTCTAATCAATTTTAGCATTTCATTTGCCTCCTTCCCCACTACTGAGCTGATCTATACATTACCTACCATAATACCAAGCCCTTACTCCTGAGTGGCAGTGATCAGTTCAAGTATATTATTTCATTAATCCTGCATCTAAAACTTACTGAGAAAGTCAAAACTCCTGCTGACACAGCAGCAGCAGCAAAATAGAAAACTACTGTTCTTTCTGGCTTGCAAAATGAGACAGAATCTGTCATGTCCATTCCTTGATTTTACCAGGAGATGGTGGCACAGGGCTTCTTTTCCTACAATGCCCAGAACTCAAATTTCCATATTTATGGTTCTACCTGCAGAAAGTGATATAGCAGAATTACACTAAAATCTTACCCCTTTGCAGAGATTTTACCTCTCAGAACTGTTTAATTACAATGGTATACTAAAATTAAAACATTTTACCAGTAAAATTCGCAATATAGACCTTCTTATCTTGGTGTATAGGAACTTTCTTATTCAAATAACTTTTAGAGTGACAAGTTGACCAGAGGAAAAAGTTCTCATATTGGAATGAAGATGTCTACACAGAGAAACATCTTGGTATTATTATTTAAGTTGAAATTGACATTTTAGATTATTTATCTTTCTATTTTAGACTTGTCTTTAAACAAGAACTGACTAAATCCCATATGTAGATATTTTGGAATTACACTTGAAATTTGTTACTCTGAAAGCTGGAATGAAAATGCTTGGGCCAAACTTTGCCAAGTGTTAGCATTTGCTATTGTTTAATAGATGAATATTGTTGGTTACAGTGATGAAGACCTCAGCTAGCTGAATAGATATATTCAATAATATAAAATATTATTTATACGACATGATTCCATTGCTCATACACATTTTCTTAAACGAGTCTTTCACACTGTAAACATTTAGGATACTGAGGAGACTGACAGAAGGTCACTGACATGGTTTAATGTAACTACTTTCTTCCCTGTTTCAGTGTAGGCAAAAGAGATTATGTGTTTGCCCTGCAGCCTCTGTGGTTCACATTCTAGCAGACTAGCACAATCCCATTTCCATCAGTGGTTTACATTAACAGGCCACCACAAGACTCTTTGGCATCTAGGCTGTACCTGCCTGCTTTCTGTCACCTTTGCTGCCATATCTTTCCCACCCTGCCAGTCTAGAAGCTGATAGAAAGGCTGGAGCAAATTTACCTCTATTTGATGCCTCTTCTCAATCACCCTTGCTACAACTCTGAATATGTCAAGCTTATGGAATGACCCAGCACAATGGCAGACACTGGCACAAGGCAGTAACCTCTGGCAGTAACCAGGGCAGCTGGGGCCTATGATGTCTTACAGCTTCTTCTGTAACATTTGCCACAGAGGAAGATCTCAGACCTGGAAAGCACAAAGATACTGCTCTTCTCTCAAAAAGGAACAGAAAATAGATTCAAACTGTACATTCCACTATCTATCCTTTTAATACATGAAATATGATATGGCTTTTTTGATGACTGAAGAATCTCCTTGCATCTGTGTGAACAGTATAGCTAAATGAGGCCTAGGCACCAAGACAAGTAGCTATCCATAACTAGATGCTTCCTTTTGCACTCATATGCATTTTAAGACCTAGTTTTCATTACACATTTCATCTCCTCAGTGCACAGATGTTTTCTCTTGCACTGAGATTCTTTCCTGTCTGCAACCAAAGTTCTTATTATGGCTGCGCCACTTAGCGAATTAGCTTTTCCTAAATTGGTTTTTCCTTTCACACTTTCCTTCAGCAAAGTATCTTCTCATGTTTCCTACGTGAGAGAATAAACAATACAGAAACTTTTCCTTAATAAGAAATTTGCTCAAGTCAGGCCAATCCCAATGCTCAGCAAACCTTCCATAAGAGCATCATACTGATGTTAACAGAAGTTCTCTAACCACAGAGAGTAACTTGGTAACAGCAATCAAGGGCTAAACTGACGTCCTAACTGCAGGGAGAAGGCTGGTCTGCCGAGAACAAGGTTGAGGCTCACATAGACTAAGAATAAGAAAGGAAAGTCCAAAGTTCTTGTAGAATCTACATAGCAGGGTTTATGTGAGCAATTAGTGCTTCTGTGATATCTGATTGCTTTATGCCTTTTGGATTCATGCTAGCTCTTCTCCTTACTGAAAGGTAACATGCACTGGATACATACCATGTTAGCTCTAAAACCACTGCTTCATGGTTTGTGGCAACATACTACACAGACTCTGCCAGGGGGCAAAGCAAACAGAGATTTACTGACAGAAACTGCCTCATCAGCAAACAGAGTCACAGTGGACCATAAACAAGGTCAGACAGAACAAACTTACTATCTCACACGTGGCTCAGAGGCTGCCAGGAAAAGCCTGGCCCTCAGTTCTCCTCAGGCACAGCTAGACTTCCTTTCAAGGACCCAGCCCAGTAGGTCCATCTTCTCTCACAGGGAACCACCAGCTGAGCTCAGTTAAGTCCTTTTCTTCAGAGTTTCTTGTAGATATGGAAGGTCATGGTTAATGGACCCACTGCAGTTCAGTCATCTTGGACGGTTACAGCAGAGGGTTACATATTCCCCTGTAAGCTGCATCATCACTGGCTGCCAGCTGTCCCTGTAGCAAGTCAGGTGGATAGCACTTGATAGGGTGTAAAGAAGCTCTACTTTTCATTAAGAGCTTAACTTGGATCCAACTGTCTCAGAGACCGAGCATGTATGTATGATTAAGCTGTCCTAATCAGGTCTGGTTTTGCTGTTGCAGAAGACTGAAGGCTGTTAGTAATATTACCTTCAGATGAACGAAAGACATAGAAATACATATGTTTAACATATAAGATGAATACACAGTCCCTGAATGACATTTTTAGCGTATGTCCATCTGAATCACTCTTTTCCTCTTCTACCATTAATGTAACTAGACAGCATGAAGTAGAAGGTTCCCTACCAACTATAAAGAAGGATGAGGGAAAATGATGCAGAACAGACCAACGTGATTAGATTTTACTGAAATTAAGACCAAAGAGCCCCTCTCTTCATAAAAATTTACAGAATTGGGCTAGTTCTTAAATAAAATCATCAGAAACATGCTGACAGTAGCATCAGTCATGTAGATTTTGCACCCTGGCCCTATGGATTTCCATAACATGGGTTGTAGGTATTTTTTTGTGCCTTCTACAAAGCTGGCATAAGACTACTTGTTTCTTGTCCTCCCCACAGTTTCTCCTTCCAGAGAGATTTGGGATGATCTCTCTTCCCACCCCAAAATCCTGTCACAGCTCAGGTTAACCTGCTGGGGCTGGAGTGGGAAGTTCCTAAACCAGAGGACAACTGTGGTGATGCCTCACAGCCTGGTTTGTACCTCCTAACCACATCCAGCATTCAAAGGAGCCCTGTAGGAAGACATAGCGCCCTAGTCCTCATGACGTAGCACCACAGCCATGCATATGTGACGCGTGCCCACTGCCCTTGTCAGGTAATGTTACCCACTGGGTTCCATTTGTTGAAAAAGAAGGGAGAGAGGACTGCCTACAAGTGAGAGCCCTACAGAAATAAAGGGTTTCTGAATAGATCCATGTTTCTTCCTGGAGCTGGTCCACCTGAATGGACACCAGTGTGAAAACTCCCAGTGCAGCTCTCCTCCTGCAGTTCCTTGCCTTTGTTCTCCTTCCCACTCTTGAAAGTAAAGGAGGTAGAGAAGGCAGGAAGTTGCTCCATTTGTTATTTCCCCAAACCTTTGCTCTGTCTTAGCAACCGCAAAATTTTTTCCTAACCTCTTTTCCTTTAGCAATAAGCCTAGAACCTGTTTTTCTGCCACCCCACACTGATAAAAATCTCACCATCCTACTTTCTAATCAGTACTGGTGCATCAGTTTATCAGGGTGGGATCTCACCCTAGCAGCTCCCAGCTCTTGCTGAGTTTGTACAGTCACTGCAGAGCAGACTGCCTCACACCACAGCGAGCTATCACTGATCTCAACTCTGTAAGAGCTGCTGCTTTGCATAGCGGCATGGTATCTCCCAGGCCAAGTGATGGTATCGTGCCTCAGCAGAAGCAATAGCTCAGAGCTTCCACTGCATTCTTGCAGCACAGGAGATGCTGTTTGGTGCAAAGTGACTCTTGTTTCTGAGTGAGGCAGCAGTCTCCAGCACCCCGAGTCAGAACCATAGGCCCACCAAACCCAAACTATAAGCATTTGTGATAACAGACACATTCCAATAAAGCACCTCTGTGCAGGACAGACCTAAGGTGGGAGAACAGGTCAGAGGGCCTGAGAGATGTCAGAGGTGGAATTTAATGGTAATTTGGGGCATGCATTGGCTTCTCAGTGCTTACAGCCCATTCCAGAACCACAACAGAAATGAACAATGGATGCTCAGGAGCACCATCTTCCCTGGAACAGGGACCAAGTTCCAGGTCCAAAAAAAAAAAAAATGCATCCAGTGTCAATATGCAGTGGATGCAGTGGCATGAATCAAAGCATGTAGTGCAACGACAGAGCAAATGGCAAAACAGGAGCCAGCCTCTCCTTGAGACAGCAGCTGGGCAATAAAGGGTTTACTATAGAGTTTAGCAAAGCCGAGCGTTCAATCTCAGTGTTGCTCTGCAGTAAGGGCAGGTGATCTCCAGACTTGCATGCAAGAAAACTGTTTATGTATTTCTTGAAAACAGGTTTTACCTTAGTAGGCACACAAGGAGAGAATGCAAAGAATCTCCACTTCCATCTGAGAACAGCTGGACTCTCTTAACAGCCCTTTAAAACATATTTTATAGACATCCTGCTATGTTAATAAGGGTGATTGAAAGTTTTTGCTGATTTTAAAAGATTTATAGCATGATAACAAGAGGCTGGAGAAACTGAGAGTCAGTCCTTAAGTGATGGATTTAAATCATAATGCTTACTTTATTCATAAGCCATAGAAATAATTCATGGATAACATTGTAGCGGGACAACTCCTTGACAATTTATGCCTAATGTCTTTTGAAGTTTTTTGCTGACCTGCGGACTGCAAAGGGACTTTTACAGCACCACAGCAGAATAATCTATTGGCTCAGAGCTTTTCTACTTTTTTATTGCTGGTTTTTTTTTTTTTTAATGTCCTAGGAAAAGATTTGGAACATGTGAGAAAGAAGACCAGATCGGCTGAGGGGAAATCACAACTGACTAAATAGCAAAGCGATATATCGGGAAAAAGGGATTCTGTAGGGACAGGCTTAGGAGAACACTGACAATCAGCAAGTGCCTGAGTAAAAGTAATACAATTATAATGGACTTATTTCCTGTTGGGATACAGCTTTTGATGAGTAACTCATAACTAAAAGGGGCCTGGACAAAGCCATGCAGCAGAGAGAATTCTCTTCTAAAAATAACAGAAGAATTTGGAAGAAACTGCTTTTTTCCCCAAAATTTGGGAAATGTATTAATAACTTGAATTACTCAGCTGGGGAAAACATTGCATATTTAAATTGTCAGGGCTTTTTTTTTCTACAATTTTTCTTTATTCATTTGATACAGAAATTGACCATTTACTTGTGAATATCCCTCAGTCAGAGAGTAGTTAGCAGCACTAACTAGTTCACATATGTAAACACTGTAGCCCATTATAACTCATGCCCAATACATGCCCAGCAAGCCCAATAACTCATCAACTACTTCTGAGTAGGATTGACAATTTTCCCCATGAAAAGTGTGACGCTGGTTGTTTTATCAGAAATCAGAATAATGAAGGGCCTGTTGAATTTGATGGTAACAGAAGGATGAAGAACTTTCCTAATGATTATGGCTGTCGCTCCTGCTGCCTCAGTTCCAGCCTCATCTACTTCCAGCAGGGCCTTGTGAATTGCCTGCAGGGAAAAGAGCAAAAATTATGGTGTATATATGGGTCAGCAAGCAGGAGGGGAAGATAAATTCTTTTCTTAAGGAATATTTAGTAGAAGGAAGGAGCAATAAAATCCAGTGGACCCAAGTCAACTGTATAGTAAATCTCCAATAGCCTTCAACAGCAGTGTCTTCCACGCCAGGATTGAACTGGGGACACAAACGGACTTACTCTAGATGCAGCCTCACCAATGTTGAGTAGAGAGGGACAATAACAGTCCATGTACTAGCTAGTTTCTTTTCTTAGATGGTTTAGATTTCCACTTACAACACTTCCTCTATGGTTCCAAGATTAACAGAACATTGCTATGTAAATGTTAAATGGACATCTTTGCCATATTAAATAGTAGCTTTAGCTGATATGGTGAAATTATGCCACTGAAAACTGGAAGTTTCCAGGAAACTTTGAGAATATTAAAAAAATGAGGTACTAATCAACACAAATATCATGACATATCCTTCACTTATGGTTTACTTGACAGAACTGCATGTAAACGATTGTATTCCAGTGCAAGAAATAATTGAAATTCTTGTTCCCCTTTCCCATGTGCTTAATATCCAGCCTTTTATTAAAATAATTCAAAGGTGAACAATAAAACCTTTCTATGGAAAAGCACAATTACTAAGTAAGCCCATGGATGTCAATAAGTTTTGCTTATAACTTCAGTAGGACAAGGACGGAAAACAAGTCTTTAAAAGTCCCAGACATAATTGATCACAAGTACCAACAAACCCACTAGCACCATCTCTCTCTAGTAACTTACTCGTGAAACATGAAGACCATGGCTGCCAGTAATTCCAGACAGGTCAGCATTACTAGAAAATACATCAGTAATGCCCATTTTCTTGAACAGCGTTTCAACTTCATATGATCCACTAATAGAAATCCTTGGCAAGTGCAGATTTACTCTTCTGTTGAACAGAGAAAATAGAATAGTAGTGAAGCATGGCAGTCTTATTTCAGTAAGCAGGCTGAATAGTATGTAATGCACTGAACTTGAAAGCATTCTTTTGATTTCTAATGTGTTTGATGTTGGTATTTGTATTCCTTGAGAGATTTGGGCATCCAGAGAGAGAGGTATCATTTTCTTGTGCCTAGATTCTCTCTTTGATCTTAGTTATAGACTGATTTCTTCTTTGCCACTGTTTCATTCCTGTGCCAGGACATGCACATCCAGCAGACGTTTGTAGGAATAGCAGGCTGCAGAGCCTGTAAGCAGATGGACTGAGCACAGAGATTGGAGGTATAACAAAGAGTAGAAAGGCTAAAAGGGAAAAGGAGGATAAAATCCAAGACATAGTGAAGAAAATGAATTATGTTAGCAGCATGAAAGAAGAGGCATGGTACCTAAAAGGTAGGTAGGCAAGTCCTGAGGTAGTTGTTGGACTGCTACATCCACTTCTATCAGGTCAGGGAGTCTACAGTGGCAGATTAGTTATGCTCTGCTCTGACTAATCTTGGGAATCATTTAAAGCCCCACTTCATGAAATCTTTGCATCACAACATCTCCAGGAGGAGATCTGAAATGAATGCTTTCTCTCAAAAATAACATTATTTCCTAAAGTATAATAATTAATCTACCAAGATTTACCTGGTTTCAAGTTTGCTATCCCATTTACAAATAGTTTCTTTTGAGAGAGCATCTTCCACTTGTTTCATCTTTCCATCATCAGGCAGAATGAGCAATGCTCGTGCAGTGCCTTGGTAAGGCAGCTCTACCACCTCACAAGAGAGGTCCTGGTCATAGTAACTGCTATAGTTAGTTTCACGCCGCATCATGTTGACACTAACAGACGTGTTTATGTTCACAAAGAAATCATCCTCATAGGTACACTCAGGATCAAAACGCTTTTCCCAGGCAGCTAATGGGGGAAAACAGAAGATGTTGCACTTGAACATGTGAGGATCATAAAAATAGCTAATATAAATCTGATCAATATGAATGTTAGGAGAGCTGTGTATGGGAGAAGGGGATCACCACATCACTTCAATCTTCTGCATAACACACAGTGAAGTATTTTAGCTGTGCAGTGAGCTCAGCAGTTTGAGCTTGACTAAGTCCTATCTTGCTGAAAAACAACCAAAGGTTGATGAGGAGCAATCAAGAGTCCTGCTTCTATTGTTGCTATATGTTCCCATCACTCTCTTGTACCATTTATCTCATTTAAATTCACAGGCATAAACATTTGGCCACAGAATCTCATTATGACTTTTCTACCTTTCCATAGCCCCCTGCTAGGCCACGTCAGATACAAACTGACTGCACTCAGTCTCGTTAGGAATTCATCAACAGAATAAAGAACTCTAAAATTCAAGCAGTACTCCAGAAGCAAAGGCCCTCAAAATGCTAGGTCCCAAATTTTCAGGCAGGGTACCTTATAGGTCTGCCATAATACTGCAGACCCTGAAAGTCCTCTAAAGGTCTGACTGGCACATATGCTCAGCATGGAGACTTTAGAAACATCATTGGTTACGACACTCCAGACCAGAGAGACTACTCGCAGCAGGCTTTGAGGCAGCCCACTACAGGGGGACTCCACTGTCCACAGCTTTCAGGCAAACTGGACAAAAATCAAGCAATCAATATTTCTCGATAATCAGACACCTGGCTTTTGGCCAGGTCTAATCCTTACCTTGAAGGTTCTACACAGTTTAGCTCTTTCCCATATAATCATTCGATTAATAAATCACTAAGGATTCTTTATAACTTCTTACTTTTTTTCATCAGAATTATCTGTTGGGCTATTATGCTCAATTTCTTACCTTTAAAATAAATGTAGTTAATAAGAACCATTATAGTATTTCCATCAAGATAATCAATTAATTCAGGAATTTTCCCCTTGGTTTTCTCCTTTACATAATTATTGATTTGCATCTTGGCTCCTCCTTCATTATGGAAATTGCTAGAAAAAAATTCTGCATCATAAAATTGTCTGGTATGTTTCAAAAATGCCTCCAGTGGTTCAACCCCAATAGCTGTAAAAAGGGCATTTCCTATATTTAATGTGATGTTAACATCAGTACAATTTAGTACTGCTAAAACTTTATGAAAACTTTCATGTATATCTTCTATGTGAGCCTGAGCAACGCTGCCAAAACCCAGTCCTTCAAAAATCTGAGCCAGAGTGGTTGACTTAGCGCCAAGAGCCAGCATTGCAAAGGCAGTAGAGATGCTTATGGGAGAAAAGAAAACATTTTTGTCAGCTTCTTCTGATATAGCCTGTTTGTAAAATCTAAATGCAAAATCTGCATAGGCAGAGCCTTGTTTGCGACAATCTTGCATTAATAAATTTTCTGCTCCATCATGCAGCCTTGTATTATTGACTTCATGGCAAACGTCTCTATGGTGGCAATGAGTTACAGCACTAAGACCAGCAAGGAACAAGCACAGGCACAGAGGATACTTCATCTTCTTTTCAGATTATTCTGTTCACAAAATAAACAGTCATTAGATGAGCAGAAGGTAATGATGAGCTTTGCAGTAAGTAATAATGAATAGTTTGTTATCACAAATATACAAAGCAACTATAAATATTTAATATACATACGATATTCAAAGTGACTGTGTACACAATTTCAAGCTACATTAACAAATTCAGCCAAATTATTAGTTAAAATGTCAGATGTAATAAAACCACAATTCTCCACTGTAACTGTTTAGAAAAGGTTGTTCTTTGTTGACTATGAAAGTATAGAGCAAAAGACCATAATAATGTCTATTAACAGTGATACTATCTTCCTTGTATCATTGTCTCCTATAGGATACAGCTAAACAAACAAGTTAGCATGACGTAAGACAGGGTGTGGGTTTCAGATCTATCAACTACTCTGCGGTACCTGCCCATATGCACTGTGGTAAATGTGAGGTAACTCAAGGCAGTTCACTTTTCATTGAAAGTGGGATAGACTCCTGCCCTTTCGTTGGAGTAGAAGCACACAAACAGATAACTATCAGGGACTGTCTGGTGCACCTTAAATGCACATCCTTATTTACTTCATGGTTACTTATTCATGTGGCCAGTCATTGACCACAACTGTTAATTTAGGGATGAAAGTCATTTACATGAACTTCAGGCAAAATTCAAGGCATAAGCCTGGAGCAGGCTGTAGAGTGTCTGCAGTGTATTCAAAAGTGGGCATAAAGGCATGTGGAAAGTGGCAGGTTTACATCAGGTGATGAGGGGCATGTTTGGAACAGACCCTCTGTTGGCAGCACTGAAGCAAGCGTTTGTGACTGGTTAAATGGAGTTGTGCCCCTCACTACCGGTTAACCTGGCTCAGCCGGGTGGGACATGTGGGTCCCTCTAGAGCGGAGGAAGGACTGATTCCAGCACACGCCCCAGCTCATATGTCTGTATGCCACATTCTGGCTGCTCAGGCAGAAAATGACAGACTCCCTATTTGCAGAGAATATGGTGTACATATGTCAGAAATTCCACAAAATGGCACATCAGTTTAATCTAGAGCTTCCCCAGGTTCCCACATGTGTATTCTGTTATAAATAGCTTATGACAAATGGGAGAACATCCATGGAGACAACTGGCCCTTGCTGGTAGTGCATGCAATGTGCCACATTAACTGGGTCCAAGAAGAAAAGAGGAACATAGTTCCCATTTGGATACTCTAGAGTATTCCTGTTGAACACAGCAGTTTTCTTCACTATGGTCTTTCTCTTAATGCTGGCATGAGATGCTTCACGCAAGCCTGCTCCATTTCATAGGAGCTGGAACAAGTCTCTAGTTTACTGAACTCAGTTTCCTGCTATTATGGGGAGGCATAGCATATAAATGTTCTTCCAAAACCTACCAAGCTAGCTATTAAAATAAACTTTTTACCCTCACATCTTCTGCATGAAAGCTTTTCTAAAACTTTTCTATTTTATGGTTACTCCTTCTTCCAGTTTCCAGTCAGTGTACACGTATAGCCTGTTTGAACCCATTCTTTCTCTTACTGGAGTATATTTCTCCAGGTCATTTAGAGAAAGCAAAAGTATTACCCCAGAACTTTTGTCTAGCTAAGGTGAAGTTCTTATTCATTCCCAGATGTGGGAGATGACTGTATCTACTATATAAACAAGATCTAGGTAGAGTTTCTGCTGTCAGCCCGAGTACTAGTATTCTTAGTGATTAATCAGCTGCTTTATTTCTTTAATGGTATGGTGATCTTTCATGTCTGTATAGCTGACATATATACTAGCTGTGTACTCTCACATTTTTCAGGATCTGAGTATGCCTGCATGAGTCCATGCAGTGATCACTAGCAATTACCTACTGTTAGGCCTGCAGTGAGAGGGGGTGATGCTAAATTTTCATCTTCTTAAGTCAAAAGTTGGAGGATGTCCCTGGATGGGAATACGATTCAACTATTTTTATCTATTTTAGGGAGAAGTTTCCCCCTTCTTCCCAGGATAAAAAATCCTTATATAATGCAGTAAATCAGGCAACCACATATACATATATATATGTTAGAGGGCTGGAGCACCTCTCCTATGAAGAAAGACCGCAAGAGCTGGGCCTCTTCAGCCTGGAGAAGAGAAGATTGAGAGGCGATCTCATAAAAGTGTACAAGTATCTGAAGGGGGAGTGTCAAGAGGATGAGGCCAGCCTCTTCTCCGTGGTGCCCAGCAACAGGACAAGAGGCAACGGGCACAAACTGAACCACAGGAAGTTCCATCTGAACCTGAGAAACAACTTCTTCACTGTGAGGGTGACTGAGCATTGGAAGAGGTTGCCCAGAGAGGTAGTGGAGTCTCCTTCCCTGGAGATATTCCAAACCCGTCTGGATGTGATCCTGGGCAATATGCTCTAGGTGACCCTGCTTGAGCAGGGAGGTTGGACTAGATGCTCTCCAGAGGTCCCTTCCAACCTAAACAATTCTGTGATTCTGTGATATACAAAGACCGCTTCACAAGTATTTTTTTTAGAGTATTTTTCTCTAGTTATTTGAGATATCACAAATAATAACAGGAGGATTTTTGTCTATCTGAGACAAACCCTGATCCATGATCGCTTCCTATGCCTAACAGAGCTTAACCTAAATTTCAAAGAATTTCTGAAGCACAGAATATGATTTTCCTATAGCTAGCTCATATCACACTTGGCTCAGAACGCCATTCAACTTCTGCTAGTAATAGATCCATTCAAAAACTTCTCTAAGTACTGCAGCCCTCTACTAGAAATACCAGAGAAGTACTTCTATCAGAAGCTAGAAAGCATTGAAAAATTGTCATCAAGTTTTCCTCACATACTTTTTTCTCTTTAGAGATGTTAATTAACTTAATTTCAACATTTTGAAATTTGAAAGTTCTAGATAGTAAAATTTTATGATTACCATGTCAAAGGTGAAGAGATTGGAAAGGCTTTATTAAATAGGTGGTGGTTTTTTTTGTACCCCAATTAGAAATTCAGAAATTACATCTCTGCCAAACCCACAAATTGGTCTATCTATGAAAAAAAAGGGGTAATTACATTCAGAAATTGTGGCCTTCCATCCTTCCCCTACACTCATGCCGATCCTAATTAAAGACCGTGGCCTTGGTGATTCTTCTATTGTTATTTTATATATTAAGTCATCAGAAGAGTTTATAAATTGGGCCTGGTGGTCAGTCACTAGGGGGAATTATGCTAATTCTGAGTCACACCAAAAGCTATACCCAACCCAAACGGTGATTTCATCAACATTTTGCTTTACTAACTGCTTAAAAAATCCCCACAACGTCAAACGCTATTTTATTCCAATTTTAGGCTAAGAATACTTCCCCTAAAACAGCCGGTTCCATTCATCCCTTGGCTGTTTGTTCATTTAATATTTCATGGTAACAGCTGCACAGAACAAAGTCACAAATATGCAAATGAAATAAACTGAACATGAAAATTCCTCAGATCCCAGAAACCATCAGGTTCAAGCTTCTATGAAAAACGAACGCACTACTTACAAAACCACAAGTGTCCTGCTGTGTTCAGCTGACCAAGCTATTCTCCACACTATTACTTATACTGCTAAATCTTCTTCTGCTTAGTTTCCACTGTTAAACATTAGACAGAATAAATAAAAATTAGAGCCACAAAAAAAAAAGGAGGAAACAGAGTAAATATCGATGAAACAGGATTTCCAAGGTCACATTTCAGCCAATGGAGCTAACAACCCTGTGCCATTTCAACGGTAGCTGTGACCTTCAGTCTGTTGCCTCTGACCACGTGGAATATCTTACCGCAAACACTGTGCAGTCAGGACCCTACTGGAGACCAGGAGTGCCTGGAACCACGGAAAACAGATGTTGACACTCACTGCCAAAAGTCAGACTTTCTGTGCTGAGCTGAAGCATACAAAGGGCTGACAGCCACACAATATGGAAGCTCAGCTCTCTTCCACAGTCTGACCAGAGCTAAGTCTTCCTCCTGATCCTCAAGCTGAATACGTTCTCCTCGTTATTGCCGTACCTTTTCAATCTAGTAGTAATCCCATGCCATTGAGAGGACATATGGTAGCTATGCTTCCCTGATGGATTTCCTACTATTTGCCTTCGTAGAGGAGGCTGATGTGGGCCCCTCATACATCTGTTCTGTGAAAATAGAAGTAGCAAGCTGTTCTCATTACTCCCACAAATGCAGTCATGTGCATGCTTACTTCTTCTCCTGGCCCCTCTCCCTACAAACTGAAATTGTTGGAGTGAAAAAAAGTTCCTATTCACTTTTCCCAGTAGGAATAAAATGCTAGAGGATTATGCTGATCAAATTCATTCAGTTAACAACTAGGAGCATAATGGAGTAGTGACATGGTATGTTTCCCCAGTTGTGACCACTCTTTTGTTCCTATGCTTGTCTACTCCCATGAGCATTTTTGTTGTTACACACATAGATAAACATAGAGAATATAGATAAACCTTGTCTTGACATTCCGACTCTTTGCTTTCCTTTTTCCTTCTTTTTCCCCTTTCCTTTGCAGTTGCACCTTTCAATTCGAGCTGCAAAATGTCATAAATGCAGTACAGAGATTATTTGTGAAAGGTCATGTGGTCAACGACGCGCTGTGTTACAAAATGGTCATATACCTCTTGTTTTCTTTTTCATTTGCCAGGCCTTGTAATTACTGTTTTGTTTTTAACAGCATTAAGCTATACTTTAACAAGGCATTTCCCTGACATTTCATTCTAGTTGCAGGAATAAGGTGCTAAGTCAACTTTTATTTACACAGAACTGATGAACAGCTGCACATGTGCCAGGTATACCATGCACTGCCATGAGCCAGTTAGAGTCCCACCTTTTCACTGGCCATAATTTTCAACCCTGAAACTATGCCATGACACTGCATTAACCAGATTCATACTGGTCATTCCTTTAGTGACTAGATGCTGCTTCTCTATTAATTATTTTAATAGGAATACAAGTCCAAAATATCAAAATAACCAAATTCATGTGGTTTATTACTTCTGATAACTAAGAACACACTCAACCAGTGACAAAATATACATTACTCAGGTCCAAGTTACTACTGTGTTGCTGGCTTGAACTGTACTTCATGGAGATCAGTATCTATTCCTCTCCCCAACTTATATTTGACTTTATAAGAAATAGACCCATAGAGTATTTCATGCATTTACCAACATCTTGTGAACAACTCCCTGCCAGTTTCTTTTGTTTTGAGCAAATCATTCCAAATGGTCAGCAGGTTGAAAGACATCCTAATTTACCGATCACTTGTATAAATGCCTATTGCACAACAACAGAATCTCTCATCTTGTTCAGTGTTTCTCTACACCTAAAGTCAGGTAATTATAGTTTTGGTGCCAATTTAGCAACAATAATAACTATTCTGAGATTATGGCTCACAGACACACAAGTTACTTTAAATATCAAAAACTCTTTATTCTTGTGGATTTATTATATGATATTATTAGGCAACACAAAGATTTGTAAGTATGAAGTACCTAGACTGCAAGTGTAGTGACACAGCAGCAACATGAGGGAAAAGAGTGTGGAGTTAGGAAGGAAAATGGACTTTCTCTCCCCCTCCCAGATAGCATCCAGTTATGTTAACAAATTTTGGAAGGATCACGCAGCAAGAGGGCAGGGAGAATTCTTAAGACTAAAGATCTATGCCTGTCTGGTGAACTATGCTTCTTCTAGCCTGGATGAGATGTATGAAGAAAAAAGGCCTTATTTGCACTCGTTGGCACTCCACACTCTCAATACTTCCTTTAGATTCTCTTCACTGTGCTACCAGGAAGACAAAATTCCTTAGCTTAGAAAGAGAATTTGAAATGGGGATGAAATACAGTCTGTATATAGTGATGACAGCATCCACTGGGAGAGAGAAGCTCTGCTCCCAGAGCTGCTCTTTGTTTGAATTACTGTCACTAATAACATGCACAAACCATGTAGGGAGCAGGGACAAAAATTTATAGACCTATTTTATACCTATGGCAATAACCAACAACACTAAACACCAATTTTCAGTTGTAAGAGCAATGCCAGTTAAAAGTTACCAGATAGATGTAGCATGTGCCTTACACGTATAGTGTAGCAACAAAAATGACTAAACCTCATACTGCTGTTTCAGAAGAGCACAGGCTGGCAGATATAGGACAGGACTTACAGCAGACCTGAGTCCTTCTGAAAAAGCAGTAGAAGAGTAGGCAGGATTGTCTAATATTATAAAACTTTTTTTAGACCTCCAAGTGACTCCTAAAATCTTTCAAAGAGGACCCGTTTCTCACTAGTTCTGTCTGTAACAGCTTGCACCATGGAGCTTCATTTCAAGCCTGAGTGTTTCTGTAACATGAATGCCAGTAACAAAACAGTCTTCTGAGATTTTTGTTTGCGAATAACTTCCAAGAGAGGGTTTTGTGTAAGAGTAGTAAACATACTGTTTCCTTTTTCTTTTATCAACCACAAATAGCTGATGAAATAACCATGTTGCAATCTTACTGACTAAAGATCTCCAGGAATCTTTTCCATTGACCGGATGCTCAGTATACTGGAATGGTTTCAGGATGGGATGGACAGCTTTATAACTCAAGCAATTTGAGATCTATTGCCAACTCTTCTCAGCAGCTCATCTCTGGCTTTAGGAACATTACTAACACTCTCTCTTGGGCTTCAGTATTCTCATCTGTAAGACACAAATGATATATTTACCTTGCTCTTTTATACAAGATGAAATATAACATGAAAATACAAAGTTACTTTCAATGGCCTTAAGCACCATTTTACTTCTTTATTAAATTTAATGAAGACAGGATTGTTTTTTATCAGCTTGATACCATGGCCCCTCCCTCGGTGTCTATGATGCATAGTTTGAAAAACTACTATCTATAGGATGCACCTACACACAGCTTCAAAGAGTGTAGCTGGAAAAGTTCCTCAGGTAAAAACTTCCATAAATCCTCTGAACTTTACAAAAAGGGCCTTCTTTCCTGAGGTGCTTAATAATTATATTCAAGAGGTGCTAGCTACCTATATATGTTCCATTGCGGCATGGGAGGAGATCCTCAATCACACATAAATTGCAAGTATTAACAATTTTCATGCATCTCATGACACTATCTTAACCAGCTCTTTTAGCAGAACTTTTTCTTTCGGAGCTAAAAAATGCAAGTATCTGTTGCCAGTACCTCTGGTGTAAGAATCCTGTCTGAGAAAATTGAGATGGATATGATTATTTTGTTCCCTTTTTCACCTTGCAGTTTGACCCAAAGACCCTGCCAGCTGAGATCATCTCATCTGAACTCATGCTTTTACTGCCAGTTCTGTGTAGGCGTTTTATGTTTTTAAAATTGTACTAGTTGTCTACAGTTAGGCACTTGAATCCCACTCTGGCTGTTTAAACAAAGAAAGAAAGGACTGTCACTCCCATCTACAGCTACAAAGCAGAGAGAAAAGCTAAGTTTATACAAAGTGAATCTGTGACTGAGCTGGGAAGGGAAGTAGAAACTCCCAAGCCCCAGCCCAGTGCTGTAACCACAGGCCCATCCTTCTTTCCTAATAATGTTCTTGTCTTAAAGAAAGAAAGAAATTAATCAATTAATTATGGGTTTCAAACAGTAATATAGTACTTAAAATTGTAATAAACGTGTCTCTATACAACACAAAAATAGTTAACAAGAACCATCCCAATGAGTAATTCAAGACTTAAGCAACCTGCATAAATTTCAAAGCCTTCTTTAAAAAGTTCTTTTTCACCTATTTGCTTCACAGACCCTGCTTATTGGCACCATCTCACCTTAACTACTTCCTTTACCTCCTTTGTACTGCTGCGTGATTAGACAGAGTGCCTACATTTAACCATGCAGCTGATCAAGTAAGGCTACTCAAAGTGGATTCAAATAAATAATGATGACTTTATTCTGTAACTCAGAACCTCAGCTGCCCAAGCACACAATATGGACTTTGACTAAAGCTCAAAGAAAGGACCCAGAAAGTGGCCTTGTAAACCACAGACACAATTTCCATAATTACTCCCTGAATGCCTCTCCATTCGTACAGAACAGCTTTGTTGAAAACGTGGGTGTAAACACAGAAGTCCTCCAAGTAGAAAACACAGAAAGGAAGCAGGTTTCAATTTTACTTTGAATAGACAGAATATACATTAAGCTTTGAGAATATACATTAAGCTTTGTTCTGACCACTACTTTTAACTATGTAGGGAGAATATTTAGGCTAACACTGAGCGGCTCTTAAAAATTCTACTCTAAATCTATATACAAACAAGTAAAAGGAGCAATTTTTCCACATAATGAGCCATCACACAAGTGTCTCACATTAGTTAATTTAAACAGAAATCAGTTTGAATTTTACCCAGCCAGTACCATGCCTAGTGTTGGCTCCTATATATTGATATCTGTTCTGATATTCCTTTTCTCTGCCTTTCCTCACATTGCCCATAGCCACCTTCAGATCACTCTCATCCCCTTGGCACACCATGCCTCTACCCACCACCACCCTCTGTCAGCTTGGAGAGCAACAGCAATAGTCGGTTGAAAAGTCATGGGGGAAGGCATTCCCCTCAAGAGTCAAAGGAAGGGAATAACGAGTAAAAGGAAGACTAGCAAAAGCCAACCTTAGGGCACCAAGAAATGCCAAGCAGGTTTTTATTTTCTTTGAGCTGATTTTCACAGAATACCTAAGTGTCTTCTTCCACAGAGCACAACTGCAATACATACAGCACTTCTAGGGCTGGGGGTCAGCATGAATGCGTCCCAGCCAGAGAGATGCCTACCGAGCGTGTGACTCTGCAGGAAGGTTAATCAGGTCACAAGAACTTCGAGGTGACAATGTCCTCAGGTTCATTGGTCAATCAGTGAGAGTTTTTTTTTTTCCCGATGATGCAACACTCTTAAATTAATGCCTTTGGTAGAGCTTAGGTGGGTGGGGATTATGAAAACCAGTTTGAACCGGTCTCCAGCCTTTGTGAATGCTCCAGCTTTCCTACTAATGATGATTGAATTAATCTCTTAACAAACACGTTTGTTTTTCTAATTCGCCTCCACACTCTTAATTACTATAACTTCAAACCCAACACCCAAATATTACAGTACAGATGACATTTAACATCCTTTATTCTTCCAGCATCTCTGAAATATTTAGATATTGCCTTCCTGAGGTAATCTGCGAAGCACAGCCACTAGGATCTCCTCACCAGAAAAGGGTTCCTACAAGCCAGAACAAAGTCTAACACGATTCACTGTCCCATCTTTGACTTAAAGGTGGTAAAATTTTACAGGCATGGTCTGAACACACTTCCCTTTAGAGTCTACCATAAAACCAGTTATTTCTGCTACTGCTGTATGGGCACTTAGTGCAGAGCCAAAGCTAACAAGTCCAGCAACACGTTTTGCTGGGGGTTCCACTCTTTGCTTCATCTTTAATGTTAGTCTTGTAAGTGAGAGGCAACTTCAGAGTCTGGAAATTACTCACTTAATACAAACTACCTGACAAATGCTCACAAACCTTTTCTGTACCTGAGAGACTTTCCAAGATTATACAAGTATACAAACAGATTCTTAGGTGTGTCTGTAGTACTTACTGTCTTTTACAGTCCCCTTAACAATCCCTTCTCAGAAAAACTTCTTGGAAGTTATCTGAGGGAACAATTTCCATTTAAGAAAGAAGAGTCAGAGAAATCAAAACATTTTCAGGGATGTATTGGCCTTGCCAGCATTTTCAAACAGAAATAATCAAAATATTTCACATGGACTTTTGTTTTACAAGTGATAAACTTGATTTTTTACCATTTTTCAATAACATGAAGAAGAAAATTCAAAATAATTTTCAGGGAAATTATTAAGATTGCAACTTTTTGTCCCAACTTTGGATACATCAGTATCTTGGGACTTTTCCCCTCATATTCTTTGATTTGCCTTTATTGACAGTGAATTTCCATTTTATCTGTCATTTTATCAGCTAGTCACTCAGTACAGTCACACAGTTCACTTTTTAAAACTCACGAACAAGGTGGATCATCAGCAAAATGTGTCACCTCACAATTCATTAAATTTCCACATGGTTTCTGAATCCTCTGATTCTGCACACCTGAGCTTATTGCTTATTAATCCTGCAAGCACCTTCCCTCTTTTCTTAGCTTATCTTTTTAAAAAAATCTTTAGTAGAGGAATCTTTTTCTAAACTGTATACCATATACCAATCAAACTCCTACAATACACTGACACATCAACTCTTTCAAAGAATTCTTCAGCAAAACCACATTAGCTTTTCCTTATTTTGTCATATTTATCTATGCGTCTACAAATCCTGTAGTTTCCACAACATAAAAGTTGAACTAACTGATCTGCAATTCACTGCATGTTCACCAGTATCCCTTAAAAAACAACAACAACAACAACAAATCTTGTGTTGTATTTGTCACTTTTCAGTACTCTGGTACAGAGACCAGTCTACATGATTTATCACAGAGAAAAGTTTAACATTTTCCTTCTTGAGATAAGAGTTCTTGCATGAGCACTAAATGGTCCTGGTAATTTGTTGTTACTTAGTTTTCCATTTTTTTCTAAAATCTTTTCTACAGCTACTTTAGCTTCAAATAATTCCTCAGGCTCAACCACTGCAAAGGAAGTACACGTGCAATGGACCGAGCTTTCCTGCTCTGGCTTTACCAATCTTGAGCACTTCTTTTACACATTGAGCATCCATTGGTCCCTCAGGTTCTCTGGCAGGCTTCTGATATCTTTGAAAAAGAATTTATTATTAGCTGCTATGACTTTTTGCAAGATGTTTCTCAAAGTCATCTTTGTCCTGTCTTACTATGGTTTTATACTTAGTATTACAGGTGGGCTTTTCCCCTGATTTGATCAAGACTTCCATTTTCTGAAGTTTTTCTTCATACTTCTACCAGCTTCCTTTACTTTGTGGTATAAACTTGCCAGTTTTTTTTTTTTTCCTCCTCTTCCATTTTCGGTCCTTTTTTGTTTGGATTTACATCCATTCCTCCTATACTTTTCCCTAGGAAAGCAATCTGCAAATAAATCTTCAGAGCCAAAATGCTAAGATCTTGTTATGTCTGAACACTGTGACCTATCAAAACTCTGCAGGCCCTCTAGATCAATTTAATTTGCAAAGCTCTGTAAGAATCATTAAGAAAAGTACTCTCTGTCAAAGTTTGCTGTGGAACAAATCAGTGATGCAGTCAAAGAGAAATGAAAGCAAATTGAGTGTATCATCTGTTTTAATTTGGGTAATACTAAGTTTATTCTCTGTCTTATTGCCTAATTGGAATACCATATGCATGAGTGTATATACTTTTTCTTCCCTGTTGTATCACAGTGATTTTACTTGGACATGGGTTCCACTACAAAAAGCTGATCACTTCTATGCACTTTTCTTGTTTTCCTGTCATAACCTATTAGAAAAAGTATTTTCTAGATGGCTGACAGAATACTACTTAATATAAATGTAAGAAGCAACTAAATTTTGTTTATGGAATTAGGTAGCTGAGGAAACAGGAACCAGAGCTCAAAACACAAGACAATGCTGGTAACATAGCTGTTAGGAGGAGTCAGGAGAGAAAAGGATTGATGAGACACATGGAACTATACATTTGATATAGTAGAAAACAATATGTTATATATAGCCTTTGCAATAAACATGATAGCATCAAAGAAATGCCTAAACTTCCTAATAATTTCTCCTCCTAACAGAAATAAATTACCTACTATGCTCTGAACAGAGATTTACTGCTTAGGCCAAAGGAGGAGAGAGCAGAAAGCTATCTGACTCTTCTTATTGGCATTACCATGCTGATCTAGTATATGTGAACAGCGTATGGATAACTGTTTATTGACATTGATGAAGAACCTACTTGAATCACATATCTTAATTACTAACTCCCAGTTACAGAAATAAAACAGCCAAATTAGAAACTTTTTAATGTCATGTTTATTTGTCAGTTTTCTACTGCAGTACATTTGTCTGCACATTTCAAGGCCGAACAAAAACTGGTGTTAACGCTTAATACCCATTAGCAGACTAACCCACTTTAGTCAACAATTTACCCCTCCTGCAACCAGAGATCAGATATATACCATGAACATGAGCACAGAAATAAAATACTGATAGATGCTGTGAAACAAAAGAAGGCAAAAAAATGACAGGAAAGTAAACTTAAGAAAAAATAAATATGCATATGCATTATGAATGTGACTTTTAGTACTGTGCATCCTAATAGTGAAGACAGACCCTATAATATTGTGGCTATACTAACCATGAAGCAGATGAGAAATAGAGTACCAATGTTGTATTATTGAACAGTCTGGGAACAGAAGGGGTTATGGCAAGAGACCAGGTAAATGTCACAGATGGGGTATAAGGTGTTACAGGTAGGGTGCTTGATCCCACAAAAATACTGGATTGGTGCTTACTGTGCAAGTGATCTCTCAGGGCCAGGTGGTAATGTACAGGCACTGGCACAAAGGGGAGATGGTTGATGTTCCCTGCTGCTTGGGGGCTTCTAGAAGCTGGCTCAGGTGCAGGCATAGGCTAAAAGTAATCCTCTGGCTGCTCTAAGCTGTGTAGCTGATTCACAGCGGCCTGTTTCAGAGAGCTGAAAGGCAGAGATCTGATCTACCTCTCATTTTCTGAGGTTTGATTCTGACATGTCCACCCTGGAAAGCGTTTGGACTGTAAGCTCTTGCAGAAACAGCGGCGAGCCCAGTATATATCTACAGGGAAAATAAACGCACCTTCTTTGTGACCCCTTTGCAGCAGCCTAGCTGGCTTGACAGCTGAAAGGGGAGGATGTATCAGACTCACTGGACAACAATGGTACTATGCAAGGCAGTAAGCATTATGTATGTTAAGAACTATGCTAGATTTGAACTTCATGTTGGTAGGAAAATGGGCATAAGTAGTATAGTGCCATAACTTGTATCTGTTTGTTAGTCAATGCAAAGACAGGTGAGAAGATAGCCATGAGGGAAGAAAGAGACTTACAAAATCCTCTCCACCCACATGCTCCTCCATCTTCCCTGCTAGAAGATGCATCTATGCTGTCAGTATCACATAGGCCTATTTTGTCCCAGATCTAATGACAGTTTTGCCTGAATGCAACCTTCTTTAACCAAAAAAAAAAAATGTACAAGGCCCAAACAAACATGCAACTATGACAACTTAAACTGATGAAGAGTCTCATCTGAAAACAAAACAATGAATAACATAGGTTAAGAGGTGGAGAGCCCTCTGCAGCCATGCTATACTCATTAGGTCAAACATTGTGTTCAAAAGTGGTGATCACTGCACACCTAACATGTACATCAACTTAATCTTTTTTCAGAGGATCCACAATTTTTCCCATGAACATTATATTGTTGTCCATAGTTATGACCATTAGGAAGGGCCTGTTGAATTTAATGGTAGCAGGAACGGACATGGGCACTATTTCCATGCCTGTGGCAGCTGCGGCTTCGGTGCCAGTCTCATCCACCTTTACTACAGCCTTATGAATAGCCTGTGAAGAAACAGACATGTTACAAATCAAGGGGGTGCAAAACTAGTTGCCTAAATAAGAACTTTAGCTAAAAGTACCTGAAGAAGTTATTGGTAAGGAAAGAATATCAGGGGAAGAGGTATGAGTTCACTGCAAGCCTTTTTTCTTTTTGAACTTTGTGAGTACACAAAGACAGAAAATTTGGAAAAAAGAATTAGTAAGCTACATGAAGCATGGCTTCCTTAGCCCTAGAGAGGAAATGTCCGTCTCTGGAATAGGGACATCTCCTTGCTAGCAAAAATATTTGCTTTGTTTCTTCTCTTATTGCCTGTTCACACTACTGCAGATTGCTGGAACTAGAATAAAACTTAAAAGAGAGCAAGACTACATTTAACTGTCTTTGACAAATTCATATAGCTGAAGAAGTAACATGTAGACTAATACATTGAAGAGCACACTGAAATTTTTTCTACGTTCCTTAATGTCTTGAAACATGAGAATAGAAGAGTACTGAAAACAGAGTGCTAGAGCACAGTTTTAAGCTGAAGTTTTAGCTTGCAAAATCAAGACATTCACAGACTCTAATTCACTAAATGCCACCTGATGTTATGGGGAGGTTGTTTTGCTCAGTACTAGACAATGAAATTTGTCCTGCAGGGTGGCTGTGATTGTCAGTTTTATACTCTAGGTATCATGAACTATGACTTACCTGTAGCTTTTGCCAAGACCTGGCACTAATGGGACTCATTGTTCACAGGACGGAAGCCAAATGTTTTTAGTAATTGCAATTTCCTTTCTCCCAAACACCTTAAAAGCAAATATTGTTGTTTCTTTCCCCTCCCCAAGGCACAAGCAGTGATACATCCTACTGCTCTCTACTTGTCCAAAGACAGGAAAAGGAGCTGGACACAAACAGCGGCAGCAATAGGATGATTGTAACACCACACTGCAGGAAGGCACCAGAGCAGAGAGATGCAATGATTCAGCCATGCTTGTTTTATAAGGTGGCTCCACATAGATCAAAGGCCTTCTAGATTAAAAAAAAATAGACTTGTAATCTGCTGCAGCCCAACTGTGCTGTCAGCCTAAGTAACTTAGGTGAAATGCTCTGTATGCCAGAAGCTGCCTTTTCATGCTCAGTAAAGCCTTTTTACATGAGATTTGCAGCATGAACATTTGTAAAGAAAAGTAATGCAACTATCAGTTACCATAGATCTATAAAACAAAAACCAGTATGACTTACTTGGGAAACTCTGTGCTGGGGCTGCCCAGTGATCCCAGAAAGGTCAGCCTTATCGGTGAATACATCCACAATGCCCATTTTATATAACACATTTTTTAGGTTATACTTCCCATAAACAGTGAATTTTGGAAGATACACATTTGCTGAGCTGCCAGAAAAGAAGTGCAAGAATATGGTGAAATTTTTTATCAGATATCACATTATAACACAGACTCCCAAGAGACAACTCAGTTTGCTTTATCCCCTAAAGCACACCCTGCTTGCAGGCTCTCTCTAGTCTACATGGGAGAAATATAATGACATTAATTTGGGGAGAAGAAGGTTATAACAATGTTGGAGAGCTCGTTGAGAGGCTAGGGTTCTAGGCTGTTGGTTCACAGACTCGAGTGAGCCAACAGGTCAATAGTGAGATTGATGGAGGAATAAATCAGCACAACAGTACAGATGTACCTCCCTAATGTACCTCCCTAAGATTCTTCATCTGATTTGTTCAAAAGTCAGAGATGATTTCGTGCTTTTGGCTGGAGGCACCTTAAACATCTCCCATTGCTGAATGATGCAGAACATTCACCTTGTCACAAAACAATTATCATCTAAGCATCACATGCTGGGCACACAAAAAATCCAAGGCAGCCAAATTCACTGGTCACTTTTGAAAAAAATGTTGACCTTTGAGTTTATCATACAAATCATAAACAGAGAAGACAAAAAGCTATACCAAAGGAGCAGGACAATTTGTCGTGATGATTGGATTGATGACAAAACAAAAAACAAAAGCACATTGATAAAATCTAGTCACTCAATAGATAATTCTTTTTCTACATGCAATCTAATGTATAATTTATTCAAATTTGGGGGGAAGGTGACTAGTCTGGTACTTTCCATAAATTAATTAAACTTCCATACTTCTGACTCATTTCTTCTTTGCTCTTTCAGAGAGGATCTTTTAAAGGTTAGAACTAACATTTACAATCAATCAGAAGCAGCATATCTTGAGTTAGAGGCCAGTGACAATACTGATAATAGGTACAGTTTTCTGGTGAGAAATCGAGACAATTGCCCAGAGTGCAGGCAGAGTGTGGAGCACTTAATGAGGCTGGTCATAGAGTAAGTCATCCAGTGGACAAGTGGGAAGGGAAGGGCCCATACCTCCACCTTAGCACAGGATCTCCATGAATCTAATGCCAGGTCTGGCTGGTACCCAAAGATAAGAGTACTAGTGGATTGATAACAGGTTGCTGATCTCTCACTTCTACCTAATTTCTGATGGTGCTGATTGCTGCCTCAAGTGAGGACGCAACTGTCATTGCATCATCTGTCTTGCTATTACTTGAAGAGACTCATTTGCAAGCCCCCACTTGCTGCCAACATGCAGGAAAGGGAAAGCAGTAGGCATACTGCAACAATGCAACCAGGCAGGAAGCGCTAGGATACACTTTCCAGAAGTGAACAGGGTGTTATCTCCACAAGTTAGCCATTAAATAGATCCCAGTTGCCTGTACTTGCAATACTTTCACACTATCCCCCATTCAATAGTGAATGCTAATGAATAACACTCTGCCAGTACTGCAACTTGTATCAACTTCAGTTTGCAGATAGAGAAACAGGGACAAAATAGCTTGCCCAAGACCCTTAAATCTTCATAGCCTACACCAAATCCATTGGTTAAGCCCTCTCAAAGACTCAAAGAGAAAGACAATCAGTTGTTTTGAAAGCTAGAGGAAAAAAAAGGAAGTTTGCAGGAGAGAGAAGCATCATGACGAAAAAGGGGGAGTTGCATTAGACAAGCTAAAGATCTCTTAGCAGTAGTGCCTTTTTATATTAGAAGTTTTGCATCTCCCATCAATGGCTTCTAGGTAGCCTATTCCAGTTTTGGGGGGTAAGGGTAGGGGAGGATGAAATATAAAACTCAATTGTATTTAGCTCCTTTCTTGCTGATTTTAAAGACAATTCATGTTTCTTAGACAAAAATACTACACAAGTATTTTAATTCAGCTTCTTATTTGTCCTATATTGATTTTGGTGACCAATCACAGAGCTGCTCCCAAAAGTTTCAAAACTGAAGCTGCACTAAAAAATACATTTTTTTTCTGTCATATTTTTGTGGAAAAAGTTTTAGATTTTTTTGCAAAGTTCTGACAGTGGATCAGAGTAAAAACGTTTAACTGTTCTCTTTATTAGGATGTCATTTTTCTCTTCAGCTGAGAACTGATCACATAAAACTCTTGTCAAACATATATGTGTGAAAATCTCCTATGTGACAAATTCATAAATCTGATAAACACAAAGGCTTGACTCTGTAAACATGTTGTGCCTGTGTTTTTCTCCTTCCCCTCAGCCTTCCCATCAAAGGCTTCTAATACACATGGCACTATATTGAAACAGGAGTCTAAAAATGTTTTTTGAAAACATACAACCTTTCTGCCTTGTAGTCTCAAAATTAACTTGAAGCAAGCATAGCTTAATGCAGTGTTGTCTTCCTAAGTGTGTAGACAGCATTAAAAGAGTGACTCTGCAATGTGTTAACTCCTCTATAGCTTTATCATAGAGCTTTGTTCCCACAACTACCAATTGAAAGGTGCTGTTTCAGCATTACATGTGCAATCACTGATCACTGTGATAGGTAGAAAGGAAGCAACAGCTAAGAAAAAAGGGTTGAAGGAAAGTAGTAGGAATCTAGTTGTCAACAGGAGAAGATAAGAAACAGAAGAAAAGTAAGAAGAGGTCTTAAGACAGAGAACTGGAGTACTACAGGGAGACGAAGATAGGAAACAAAATGCAGAAACAGCAATGGTTCTAGAGTTACGAGGTTTTTCCTTTGTGCAGTACTGTTTGTGAAAACTGAAAACCAAGGGACACAACAGGGCTAAGTTTTAATTTTGGTCAGCGGGAATTCTGCTGTAGATTAAAATAAAAATAGTATCCTGATTGTATATCATTACCCAGGGATCACATACTGAAATCACTGGGTCCCCTTGCTTATCATCTGAATGAGGAACTGCAGAATTTTACCTTTTTGAGACTAATGTCTTCCATCTCGACATACGTTCACAAGACAATCTTTTTTCCAGTTTCTTCATTCTTCCTTGATCAGGCAGAATAAAAAAGGCTGAAGCACCTCCTTTGTAATCCATTTGCAACACAGTGGAAGACAACTGTTCATCATAGCCATGCTTGAATAGGCCCATTCCAAACATCATTGGGACTTGAACAGCCTTGTTCCCATCCATAAAGAATTTGTCCTTTTTAGTGTATTTTGGATCAAAGGGTTTTTCCCACTCAGCTTGAAACATAAGAGAATATAGCATATTGTTAGGATGAGAAACCATAGGATATATTCATAGATGATAGAACCTGGTACACCTGGATCAGCTTCAGAGATAAACCAGTTTGCAATGAGCACTTGATCTTACTGCATAATCAGAATAATTCAATAGTAACACACAATAGGAAGAGTGTGATTTGCAAGAAAATCGCCATTTCTTACAGCAGGCCACAATATACTTTATTTAGATGAGATAATGCATATCAAGTGTTCTTATGTGCACAGAGGGGTATGCATTTTTTCCCACATGACAGTAATTTTAAGGTGCCTATAAAGCCCTGACATGATGCAGCCTTTAAATGAGAGCTAAGAATAAGGAAGATTCTCTCCTTCACTTATTCCAACACTAAAACAGATTTGGGAAGGGTGAGGTGAGGGATGAATCTTTTAGAGAAATGGGGAAGGGATTCAGGTTACTTGCAGAGGGAAAGGATTTCATGTACTGCTTTAGTTGACGGCCAATAAAATTATGAAGAGCTTAACTCTATCAGATTGCTGGTTTAAAAAACAAAATAAAGAACGACAACAACCCTTTGTACTGTCATACTCACAACATTAAATTTCCAAAGGCTCCTCACTTAGTCATAGTGAAATAAACTGTCTACATTGAAACTCCAACAGATTCTTATCCTCAGCGGAGAGGAATTTCTATGCCAAATTCCAGTTATGCACCTCATCCATTTCAGAGACTGAGCTGACTAAAACAAAAAAAAAAATGGGGGAGGGAGTTTTTTTTTTTTTAAATAAAGAGGTGTTGCTCTGTAGTAAACTTTGCCTTGACGAACAAAATTCATTTTTGATCAGCTTTACTCGGCAAAGTAGCAAAACTGCAATGCTAAGTAAAATAAGTGACATTAAAAGCCATGAAACAAGATGCAATCCCTTTTGACTTCTGATTTCTATTTGAACAATGATTATTAGGCAGCTTGGAACAAATGAACTTATCTGGCGCTACAGCCATCTGTAAAACAGGCATAAACAGCACTTATGTAGTACTTGGAAAGAG